GAACACTGCAGCAGAACACAAAGTGCTGATGTTGATATACAGGTCTCTTTAAGTCCACACCATCCATCCTGTACGACACAGGGTGCAGCTTCGATCAAGCATAAGGAATCACTGGTGAGGAACAAACACACACAGCCTACAACAGGCACAGGCACTAAACTCCCCAGTCCAGGCAAAGGCGGGATGAGCTGACAGTCTCAATTTGTTCCAGTCCAGTATTACTGCAAGAGAAAATACAAAACAAAAGCTTCCTGACATGTTTTGAAAAGTAGCCAAAATTATGTCAAATGTCAACAAGACTTGTGAAAATCTAGTCTAATCTAGTCTTGCAGACAGAATTTACAGTGTATACAGTTTAACAAAAGTTTAACAACTCTGTTTTAGTGCTAAGTACAGCTTATAGACCAGAATCTAAGAATTAAAACATGACTTCATTTACAGTGCAATACACTTAACCACCAGATCATTTATGGTTTAGAAATAAGATCTACACTCAAAAGATTTTCGGTCTTACCCTAGCACATGTGACACATGGCAAATTTCCCTTTAAAGTGGTATTGTTCAGCTGTGCTCCATTAAAATACAATTCAACTGACAGGTTAACTAAACACAAGCCATTATCTATAACTACTGCACAGCAAAACTAAGCATTTTAACTATATGACAAGGGACGCGACAAAGACATTTGATTCTGCACCTGAGATTTGTTACAGAATGCAAGCAATGTTTTCAATATAAGCGAAAAATATTATTAGCATTTTTAATGTCAATTAATATTGTCAGAAAGGCTAACGCAGTTTATAATACACTTCTTAAAGCCGCATAAGGCCATAAACATTTTTACTGTATCCGCAAAAGACAGGGGCCATCTAGCATTTTATGACAGCAGTGGCAGCTTGGCATTCCTCTCCTGCTTTAATCATGCAACCTTGCGTTGAAAATTTTGTTACTTATTCATCTTTATCCTGCCACGGCTGCAGCCATTACCTGACCAGGCAACCATAATGTCAGAACTAAACCGGATAACGTTGGCTGTAATAACATTCAGAAAAATAAAACAAACGGCTGCGCAAATTAACACAATATAAGTCGGAGTTAATTTAATCCTCTCATGCACACACATCTGTCCTCATTGCGTATGTGCGACAGCACATCAATTTGAAATAGCTACAGCGACTTTCTCGTTCAAAGGGAGGAGGAGGAGAGGCTCTTTGTTAGCGAGCTAACGAGTACGGCTAGCAAACAGCTAGTTAGCTGGCGCTGGCTAATCCTTAACAGGGAACCGATAACCGACAGTGACCAATTTCCGCGTCACGTCTTTAAATATATTCCCTTTTAATAATTTACAATTTCACATTACTGGCACCACTCTCGTCGTTTTAACGCCGCTGTAAGCGTTAAAAATAAGCTATAATTCGCAACTTTACCATATTCGGGTCCCGTTTCCATTCCCGAGTGGTTAACATCACACCGGATGCGCTAGACCGGTGTAATAGGTTGAACAGCTACCAAAGCAATGACTGTTACCCATCTACTCAAAGCTAGCTAGGCGGGTCTTTCTTGTGGCCTAACGCGCTTAGACCCGCCTCCTGGCTGCTCCATTCAATTTAACGCCATCTGATAACATTAGCGCTTGTTTGTTGTTGTTATTACGCAGTTAGCAATTTTATTTTGTTTGTTTGTTTGAATTTGTTGACTCAAGTCAAATATCTATAGCTGAGTGGTAGACTATCTTACGTTATTTAAAAAATAATTTCTGTTTGATAATGATAAGCTGAGTTTAACTCCTTAGCGCTTGTGAGTTTAATATTGCTAGTAGCTAGCAGGTTAGCTCGCCAAGCGCTAACGTTGAGCTGTGCCGGGTGGCAAATAGCGACCTACCTCAATAAGACAAGTGACGGTCAGTGGCGTTTCAGCGGTCCTCACAGCGATAAAAAACAGAACACAGGTAGATTACACGTGTAGCTAAATGTCAGGTAGATACGTTCCCCAGTGTGAGAACCGAAGCTGCGATTATTGGGGCTCGCTTTTCAAATAAGCAGCGCAGTTAGATAGAGAAACGGTTTCAGCACAAAGCGCCTGCGCCGGCGGAGAATGACCTCATAACCATAACACACACACACGCTCACAAACCGATCGCTTTGATGCTGTTACATTTGCTTTTTATTTTACAATGAAACTAAACGATATAAGCCTTAAAATCATACGTAATAAGCATATTCAAAATTAATTAATGATTTTAAATTAATAAAAAGACTTAGGTCAATATGGACAACTACACAGAGGGCCCCTCAATAAATGAGCCCATTTCTGAAAGGTTAAATGGAGGGAAGATAAAGCGGACTAATGTGCACCCTTGAATTTAATGAGCTGGATCATTTTATTGAAACGATTGAGCCAGCCCCCACGTTGTTTTGTGTTATGGGTATTACGGTAAGAGAAACTAAGGTCTGGTTTCAAAATTAAAGGGATTTCCAAGTCAATCTACTCATTTAGTCCGTCATTAATGATATATGTAAATCATAAATGAAATCTAGAAAACAAAAGCAAAATACTATTAAAACAAATATATTCCAAATTTAAATAGAAATAATAAAATATGAAAAGTATATGCTGTTTTAACATAATAATTTCACTTTAGATCCACAGTGCACACCCCAACAGTGTTTACCACCTGGGTCAAGTCAGTCTGAAATGAACGACAAAAGTATCGTCCTTTGAAATTTGATTACCCACGGTTCTTGACTAGAGTTTTGTTTTTTGTTGTTGTTGGGTTTTTTTTAAACCTGCATTCAGATCACCAGTATATAGAAAAATCCTCTTGTCAATGTTTAATTCCAATTTTGAGCCACAGTACATATCCTCTCATTATTATACAGTTAATATCAGGTCAATTTGACAATCGGTCTGTGGAAATAGCAAGTTTCCTTATAATAGCATTTTAAATTCATACAAAGATAGCTCATATATGACATCTCTGAAGGCCTTTACTTTGAAATCCAAAATCAGACAGTCTTGACACTGACAGAGTTACACAGTGAGGGTGCATACTATTGATCTAAAGTGAAATTAGTCCAAATAAGTCTGTGGAAACAGTTTAATTTTTATGACTGTGCATGTTGTTTGAAATTTCCTGATCTCTTTGATCTGTAATTAGATTTTTTTTTCACATCAATTTCTGTATTTCATTATATGTTACGTCATCGATGATGGCCTAGATCTCCAGAAAAATGACAGATTAATGATTGGTTATATCTTTTGTATACATGTATTTTAGAGATAAATATAGACTATCTTCTTGTCACATGTGTTACCTTAATCTTTTGGCAGTTTTAAACCCTTTTAGGAATTTATTTCCCTCAGATTTTTCAGCCTTGTAGACAGAATGACAGACTAATAATAACAATGATGATGCAACACTTCAGGAGATTATCTTTATTATTTTCACTCACCTTTGTTAAAACTGTGTTTTTGTCCATTTGTGCAACCATTTATTTGCTATAACAATGAAAATAAATAAATTTAAAAAAAAAACAGTTAGAAATGAGTAATTAAGTATGATGCAATCTTTTATATTTTAGCTTCTGATGTGTAACATAATTCAATGGATGTAAAATTATTACCATGTCAAATATGTGAAATAAAATAGAGAAATTATTACAAACTTGAGCAATCATGACCAATTCTTTATCAGGCTTTAGGAAATATGTAAAAGGAAGTCACTGTGGTGTTTTCTTTCAAAATAATAGCCTTTTCATACAATCTAATGTAGTTTATCACATTTACAATTGTAAAATTAATTAATTAGTAAAAATAACACGGTGTTTATCGACAGTACTTGACCGTGGGGATGAGAACTCCTGTAGTGCTTGGATCTCTATAAATTGATGGCTCAAGAAGGTGTAATTGTTCAATTAACATATTATTTTATTTGAACATAAAAATAAATTGTAACACCCAAAGCATGTGTGGAGTGCAATATTTCTGTAAATGTTAGGGACAGAAAAATGGAAATTTCCATTTCCATTTCCATAGAAAGGCTCACAAAGGAACAATGGACCAAAATATGTTTTAGTACACAGAAAAACACGACTTATCCCACACACTTTCATACTTCTAGTTGCTACTATATTTAATAGTTCCTTTTATATTGTTCTTGTATAAATTAGCCTATATTCCTAAATATGTAGTAATAAGTCTAGTTATAATAGAGATTTGTTTCAGCTTTTGTGGTCACGTTTGTCCGTGAGCTAAAAGAGACATCACACGATATTTCCTGGGGACATTCCAGGTAATTTTGGGGGGAATATAAACCCACAAAGTATTCTGTTTTAAGGGATTTTATTCTCACTAAAATGGTTATGACCTGTAAGACTTTTCAAAACATTTTGCTAAATAATATAAACAGTATAAGCTCTATACGTAAATTAAGTTGTAATATTCAATCTATACATTTACCATTTACATTGTCCTAAACATCTCTTTTGATAAAGAAAGAAACAGTCTGATCACTAGTCTTTTGTTACAATAGAAGCCTATAAAGTGCTATATTTAATTTTTTAACCATAATGGGTAAGATGAATTGAAGAGTTGCAATTTTCTTTTTTATTAACGTTTCTTTATTAAAACATTTCCTGCAGGTATGCCCTGCCCCCTGCTGGTGATTACTCCCCAAATTTACCACATGTATTTGCTTTCATAAATTTCACTCGAAATGAAAATGCTCTGTTTATCATCACCCCATCATACCTTCATATTTGAATAATACTTGTTGTTAATATCAGGAGGACCGATTCTTTATCAAATGGTGGTAAACTACTTTTTCTTATTATTATGTGATTGTTCATTGCATTTAAGTTCAAAATACTCCCCTCACCTCTGACTTCTGTCCTTATGTTCATTTAAAGCTTTGTATTTTTCGATATGTCGGTAAATTTCTTGCTGTCCACGTCCCCTCGTGAATCGTGACCGCGCTTTTAAAATCCAAGCGTGGCGAGGAAGGCCGCCGTGAACGCGCGCAGGAGGCTTGACGTCACTGAGGCGCCCTGGCTCTCCTGAGCCGCTGGTACTGCTGGTGAAAAGATGGGAAAATCTGATAGACATTTATCGAGGAATTAACGTAAAATGAACGATTTTTGCAGCTGACTTATTTTTGACAGAGGATCCACTATTAGCAAGGATTTGGCTTCTACCAGACAACGACAAAGGTAGTTTGTTCGGAGGGTTTTTCTCCTCTGTGGCTATTGTGTTAGCGAGAAAAAAAGGTTCTTCTTGACCACATAAATTGGATATACTAGCCTCCATATGTAACGGCGAGCTAACGTTAAGCGTTTGTCGTATTTCCCTTTCTTTTATATTTAGCAGTATCACAGCTACATATATGTAAACCGGTGAATGAATAACCGTAGCTTGAAATGAAAAACCGTTGAGCTGAGGAGAAGGAAAATGGATATGGTTTGATATGGGTGTCTCCAAAGCAGACACCGTACGGAGTCGATGGGATTGTGCAGAAAAAAAAAGCTTTGATTCCCGTTAAACGTGTCACATTTTGACGACACTTACGATTAACTTGTCACATTAAACATCTACCCAGCTATCTGACAAACTGTTATTTCCGTTTGTATACAAATTTTCACGCTCAGACATTTTCCCCCCCACAATGTCCAGCATGGACAGTCCCCTCCTTCCCTCCCTTGCTAGTTTTAATCCATAGCGATAGCAAATTAGAAGAATGAATCGGAGAGCCAGCATTTATTTTGGTGGCAAAATACACAATGGAATATAAAACTCAGAAGCTAACAAACGGGGTTAAAGCGTCATTAAAGGCACAAGTGTCATGCTTTACTGTTAGCCGGCGTGTTAACGTGACATTAGCAGTTAGCAAGGCCAAACACACTCAAGATAAATGTCTGTGGTGGACATATATACATACATATGTAT